GATTAGAAGGTCCACCTGTACTCAACTCAAAATGAGTTGGTCTAGCAGTAGTTAATAAAGGACAATTGACTAACAGGCAAGGGTGGCATATGTGTATTATTTGTATTAGCTTGCAGATGTATCAACCTGACCAAACATTTGTATGTAGCTAAATCTGTAGATCTGGGGTATTAATTTAATGTTGTTTCAGACTTTTAGTTTCAATTGGTTATACTACTCTGTTTAAATCGAAGTTGTAATTGTAAAGCTTGACCTTTAGATGCAACTTACCATTCAATGTCACGCACCATTAGCCAGGGGTATACAGTAAAACCCATTAGCCATGGGCAACGCCATATGCTGATACACTGCTTGCACATTCTAATTTGACACTAGTTCTCCACGAACTCAAATCGATTCCATGGAGTTTTGATGGCTTCTTTCTCTGCAGAAAGCCACAATCAGTGGAAGCTGCACGGATATTTGATGCTAACTTTCATGATAGAAGCACTGACGAAAAGGAACTCAGAAACCACTGTAAGCATGAATAATTTCTAACTTGTAGTCTCATACTCTTATGTCGATTTGTACATGAAGTGCTTTTAATAGTGGAAATTTGATATGGTTAGTGCTCTAGAGCAACAAGCACTACGCATCTAGAGTTCTAACAAACTTAGGTTACTGCTGAAGTATGTAGACTGCCCACCTTTGCTAAAAAGATGAGCTTTCGAATAAACTAATTGTTTCATGGGGAAACATGCTATCGAGAGTCACGGTAAACCTCATGGTTTCTTTCACGAATCCAAAGATGTGACGCATGATGATCAGGATCTCTTTATGCCTTCATTCAAATGACAAAAGCATTGTGTCTGCTGACTTTTGTTTGACCTGTCATTTGGCGCTATGAACATTGGTCTAGGACAGTGGGACTAGATAGTGTATTTTTTTTCTACCCCTGATATTTTAGTTGTTTGAAGACAGTCAAAGTCTCTGGTAGTGGAGGACTAGTGTTGGAAGGTTTTCTTGTCTGTTCAACGAACAATCATCCGCGTGAAGGCTGAAACATCATGTGTTGTGGCCAGAAGAGCACATATTCAATGATTCTGGGGGCAAATGGAAAAGTAGTCACTTAGTTCGCCGAATTCCTGACTGACCAACCCAATTCTTGCGTTTGCAGTATCATACTACTTGCCTGCTTGGTAAAACCAGTGTTGAGTAGCGAAAGGGCGAAAGGAAACTGCTAGCCTGCTACTAGATAACTAATGAATTTGGGTTGAAGTCGTGGAGACCAACACCACACCTAACCTAATAATAGCCGATTGGATGGAAGAATGGAAGGACTGGTAGGTAGGAGGAGGATGCCATGGGGAGTTTGGAGCTTTATGCAGGCATATAAGGGGCATGTAGGTAGGAGGAAACAAAGAGGGAGTTGGGAGAGAGGAGTCATGGATAAGTGCTGTTCATGCTCGTTGCCATGTGGTGTGGGGGCTGGCTAATTGGCCTTGGCCACGCCTCCCTGGAAGATATAACAGCAAAAGGGCGGCCTAGACCTACCTCTTTCCTTACCTTCTTCTTTCCCTCCCCCCCCCCTAACCTATAACTGTCCAGCATGCAGAATGGATTCTTCCACCACAAGTGCGTGGCTGAGAAGTGGAAGGTAGAGCTACTGCACATAACCAGACACCACTCCTCAACCAGACAACTAAGAACTATTTCCCTACCTTCCTCTTGCCGGCATTCATGCTTTCTAGAAGTAATGCCTACAATTTAACAACTAAAGGGCCATGGTTTAAGTGTTTTGTTTAGGGAATAGGGATTGCACTCTTTTTGCCAGTCAGGGTCTGATTATGGTACAACAGAGATGGTTTACTTGATTAGTTTGATGCACCAAAAGAATAGCTATTTGAGTGTATTAAATCTGTGTGTAATAAAATGGTAGGATGCCAAACTTGATTTATGGCCAACTAGCTTATTTCTAGTTAGAAACCGTAACGAGGACTAGTCATTGATAGCTATGCAATAAAGCAGTTTGGTGTCTGATAATCTGACTTTCTGGTTTGCATTGCATGGTAGGCAAATTGGTACATGCACCAGTTCTGCTCTGTTGAGATGCAGCTATTTTCAAAAGAATCCTATTATTATAGATTTAGCTTCAGCCTTGTGCTGAAAAGTGATACAAACCATCCCCTAACATGTCGGCTTGAAAATAATAGAGATTTGGAGTTAGATCTGGAGGTGTAATCACCCAATTCTCGCAACAAAGGAATTATGGGGGCAATACAGGAAGCATGGACATTTCAAGTAGAGGACCATTGTGGAGTGTGAAGTCCCAATCATTCTGGCCCCAACTGAAGCAAATGGTTTGGGATATTTCCCTCTCCTTGCACCCAACCAACTATGGTCCATAGTTTGGTAACCATCCAAAAGAATATATTAGGTAGGCAAATATTATGTAAGCCCGTCTGGATTTCATCATGGACATGTAAGTTGCTCCTAACATGGAACAATTAATGGTCCACCTCAGCAAGTCATAGTTTCATCTGCATCCTCAGAATGTTATGCCCACAGCCTTCATTACCGCGGAGGATGAATCCTAATCTGTAGAAAATTCAGCATATTCATACTAATCTCCGTTCTCCATGAGCAAACGGCAAAGCACATGTTGCGGAAGTCGAATAAGTCCTGATCACAATTGATGGTGTCCTTATTAAGCATCACTGATAACGTTATCTTTTGCCATGTGGATTAGCGTATACTCTATTGCCATGTGGATTAGCATATATAAATACGATATCCAGGAGATCTGGCTTGCTACAGAAAGAAATAGGAAGCAGTTGCAGGACTAGCAAGTTTGGTGAATCTTTTTAATTTAGGGTTGACCAAGCAGCTCAACTAACCAATACTAATACTAGAGTACAAAACAGAAATGCTGCATATGAAAGTAGTTTCATCGGACTATCGGCAATTGGCAAAAACCATGATTGTGCAAGCAGACCATACTAGTAGGCAAAAACAAAGAAAAAAGACGGTGGGTGGGCAAAAGAAAATCCGTTTGAGCAGCGTCGGATACCTGTTCCGCCTCATCCTGTTTTATTATTGAAGAATAAACAAGGAAAAGGGGTGTATGATGAGGGGGCTTCCTTTTGTTAATACCTCATCCAGTTTGCATTATGCACATTGGCTTGTTAAATGGAGAAATGGTAAGATGATTGGGGCTCGTGAGATCAGGGCTGTTTTTTTTTAAGTATACATGAATGATCCGTCTACAACTAATACTCTGTCCTAGTATACAATACAGATCATCTCCATGTCGACATGATTGTGTTGGAGAATCAAAACAGCCCCCGTAGTCCATAGACGACATCATGTAGGACACACGAATTGCACTGCCCCTGGGTCACAACTGACAGGAGAGGTCCTAGAAAATGGCTCGGGGAATAGTCTCCAACGTGGCACATATTCTTCATCTAAATAAAATTCTTGGCAGACAAATTATCATTGAGTTTGTGTCTTACAGAAAGATTGAGGTTCTATATCCGATCTCGGCGATCGTCGATGCGGATAATTTACTTGTAGACTGAACGGGTTCGACACCCTGGCCCTGGATTGAATGGGTTATTTGCTTGTGTTGCACGAGTAGTTTTTAGGCAGGGAGGGCAGCATCAAGGGAAAGAGAGTGGGAGGGAGGGGAAATTGGGTGGACCTAATAATCCCCCACAAACAACTTAGGAAGAGGGAGGCATCACGGGTGGATGCGGTTAGTTAGCTGTTAAAACCGAAGGCGCCAAGAGGGTAGGCAGGGGGAGCTACCTCACTTTACACCTACCTGTGAGGCTTGTGAATCGGGCAAGTAGGCAGGCAAATGGAGCCTGTGTGTCCTGTGCCCTGTGGCTGGCTGTGTCGTTGTTGCCTTTCTATCCTCCTCTTTGTGTGTGTGTGTGTGTGTGTAATAAACTGGTAAACAAACCGGTGGGGTGCTGAGTTGAGGTGAGGTCATGACCTGTGGGAGAGGGAGGGGGAGGCCTACCAGTGCCCGTACCAGCCTAACCTTTTTCCCACCAACTCAGCCTCTAGAAGACCTTCTTCCCCGATCCAGTGCCAGTCAAGTGCAGTGCCGCCTATAAAGATCCAGCCTCCGGGTCACCCACCCCTCCCCGTAGCACTAGCCCCCAACAACAACAACAGCACCAACTTCCACTCCTGCAAACCCGACCCAACCCAACCCAACCCACCACCGAGCACAAGAAAAGGAGAGTCATCGGCGGCGGCAGACCATCTACAGAGATAGTGAGATGGGGAGGTCGCCGTGCTGCGAGAAGGCGCACACCAACAAGGGCGCCTGGACCAAGGAGGAGGACGACCGGCTCACCGCCTACATCAAGGCGCACGGCGAGGGCTGCTGGCGCTCCCTGCCCAAGGCCGCGGGGTTGCTCCGCTGCGGCAAGAGCTGCCGCCTCCGCTGGATCAACTACCTCCGCCCCGACCTCAAGCGCGGCAACTTCAGCGATGAGGAGGACGAGCTCATCATCAAGCTCCACAGCCTCCTGGGCAACAAGTACGTTCATCTATCCATACCATATATAGCTCCAATGAATGAACGATCCTCTGTTTTACATGCATGGCCTTGTGAAAACATAGCGCTGACAGTATTGTTTCTGTTTGACGAACGCAGATGGTCTCTGATAGCCGGGAGACTCCCAGGGAGGACGGACAACGAGATCAAGAACTACTGGAACACGCACATCAGGAGGAAGCTCACGAGCCGGGGGATCGACCCGGTGACCCACCGCGCGATCAACAGCGACCACGCCGCGTCCAACATCACCATATCCTTCGAGACGGCGCAGAGGGACGACAAGGGCGCCGTGTTCCGGCGAGGCGCCGAGCCCACCAAGGTAGCGGCAGCGGCAGCGGCGATCACCCACGTGGACCACCATCACCATCACCGTAGCAACCCCCAGATGGACTGGGGCCAGGGGAAGCCACTCAAGTGCCCGGACCTGAACCTGGACCTGTGCATCAGCCCCCCGTCCCACGAGGACCCCATGGTGGACACCAAGCCCGTGGTGAAGAGGGAGGCCGGCGTCGGCGTCGGCGTCGTGGGCCTGTGCTTCAGCTGCAGCATGGGGCTCCCCAGGAGCGTGGAGTGCAAGTGCAGCAGCTTCATGGGGCTCCGGACCGCCATGCTCGACTTCAGAAGCATCGAGATGAAATGAGCAGAGCAGAGCAGAGCACCCCCTCCCTCCTCTCTCCTGTGACTTGGATATTGGTTTAGCCTGTAGGTGAAAATACAGCGAGTGAAAGAGATGCAAGAAGAAAGAGCGATGATCTTGTGGTGCCCTGTTTCGCCAGGATCATCTCCTTTCCTTCTTTATGCCCTCTCGTTGCTCCATTTTGTTTGTCCGGTTGTAAAAAAAAAAATTACCGTTTGACTAATCATGGGCAATAATACTCTGGTGCTGGGTGGCTCACTGTATAAATTACAGGAGTGCTTTCAAGAAAGTGCAATAGTAATATGAAGGTGGCAATTCCTTTGGCAGGAGAGGAGAGCAGACCAGAATGGCCAGATTCAGTGTGCCCCGTGTGGGCGTTGATCTCGAGACCGGGGCACTGAACCGGGCAGAGGCAGACCCTGAGCCTGAGCGCGTGGGCGCATGTGAGCATTGCCTAATCCTGCATCCACGGCAAAGGCAGCGACTCGTGACACGCTTTGCGACCTGCTTTCTTTTCGATGCCCTTTGGGGCGGCTACATACATACATACATAAACCTTTTTTTCTCTTGCCAAAAGGTCCAGGTGAATATTTTTCGAGTCGATCTAAGTAATTTTACATCCGTCGTTAAACAGATAGATGATGACGCCTAACTTCTCTAACCTTTTCTATCGGCGGAAGAAAAAAAGCTTCTCTAACCATGGCTTGTGATTGATTATAATAACAAAAGTAATCCATACGCAGGTGGTTAGAGGAAAGATCGTGTGTGTATATGAAACCAGGTGTGTTTATTTAGGTGGAAGGTGGTAACGCGTGGTATTTAGTATCGGAGAATCGGCTAACCACGGCGAGAAGAAAGGAAGGAGGACAGGAAGGTGACAAAGGGACAAGGGAAGCATTTTAATATGGGGCTTGCTGGTTAGGTAAGGCCAGCCCAGCCACCTCTTCTCTTCTAATCTAATCTAATCTACTTCCTCTGTTCCTAAATATTTGTCTTTCTAGACATTTCAAATGACTACTACATACGGATGTATGTAGACATATTTTAAAGTGTAGATTCACTCATTTTGCTTCGTATGTAGTCACTTGTTGAAATGACTAGAAAGACAAGTACTCCCTCGGTAAATTAATATAAGAGCGTTTAGAATACTAAAATAGTGATCTAAACGCTCTTATATTAGTTTACAGAGGAGTATTTAGGAACGGAGGAAGTAGTAATCTATTGGGCATCGGGCAACCACAACTCACTCACTCGGCGAGCCCAGTCAGCACCGCCTCCTCATCATCATCCGCGGTCGGGTCTCCCGGCGAGGCCAGCACCAGAAAGGCGGAGGGTTTTGGACGGATTCACTTGTGGCTGGGTGGGTGGGCAACTTGCGCCGTGCTCCTCCGTTGCGCTGAGCTGAGCTGCGTCTTTTTCCTTCTACTGGTCTACTAGTATCGTGCGCCGCCGCTGTAGGCTGTGCTCCTGCTCCTGCTCTTTGCGAATTAATATCGCACGTCGTTTTTGTTCTAGGCAATGCGCTGTGTCGTCACGTCCGTCCGTCCATGGTAAACCGTGCGTTTTGTGGTGGGGTGGTATGGGGAGTAGTGTAGTTTTCACCTGTAGGGGAAAGTGGGGTTCCGGCCATTTCTTCCACTCAGGAGAAGGGATCAGGAATGGCAGCAGGTGGCTTCCATACAGTCCCAAATAATCTCGCTGTCCAGCATCGAGTAAACACAAAATATCTGCCTCGTGAGTCACGCAGGATGACTGGTAATTAGGATTGGGCAATCCTCAGCCAACTTTACTTTTGTAAGTCGTTTAAAACACCTGAAATTAAATTGTTTTAGATGTTGTCCTAAATATCTAAAAGTCTTACAAAAGCGAATGGAGGGAGTAGCATTTCTTAGAAGTTTTCCTATCAATCTGGAGCCATTGATCCAGTTTCTTTCATCATACGCTTTCGCTATGCGGTCAGAACAAGTTCCGTTCCAAGCCGGTCTTTTGTTAGCTCTTAAGGTGCACTTCCCAGTTTGAGAGAAGCTGGTTTTTCATTGGGGGGTAAAAATGATACTAAGTTTCACCGCATGCTGCGCATACTCACCTAGGAGGAAACAATGCTAGTATCTGGGATGGATGTTACAGGTTGATCGATCATCAGTACTCGTACGTGCACGCCATGTCCTTGTCACTCTACGTACATACCTTCCGTTATTAAATACAAGTCTTTTTAGAGATTTCAATATGGACTACGCACGGAGCAAAATGAATAAATTTATACTTTAAAATATGTCAATATACATCTGTATATAGTTTTTAGTAAAATCTCTAAAAAGACTTATATTTACGAATGGAGGGAATACTATCTTTTTTCCCTTTAATACGCATGAACCATAGAACAATTGTTCTACCGTACTACGAACGCACGCACGCACATATGTACTCAGTTTATTCACCTAGCGGGAGAATGAGAAACCGTGGACCTGAATCCGCCAACCTGTGGTACATCACGGTATTGTAACACACTGCTACTAATACTTAACACTAATGTTTCATTCCTGGAAACATCTGGATTCGGCTAACTTTAACAGCGATGTTCCTCGCAACAAGAAAATATACTAGTGAGGAACAAAAACGAGTGATGGAGAAAGACATCAACTGCTTTGGCAGGTGCAAAGCTAGTTCCCACTAGCTACCACATCACGGTCCAACACAGGTAAGAACAAAATAATACAGTACACATTATTAGTTAACTAATCAGATTACCACGGTGAATCTCAACTCATCAAGATTTCCATCTGTGCTGGCTGCCTTATCTTATCTGCCGACGGTAGAATCAATACTTTCCACCGAAAGCAAAACTGCCAAGCCATGCCGGCCATCAGGAAGAAGATCTCTCTCTTTGTTAGTTACGTCCGTTTTCGTCAGCAAAAATGGTAGAAATGGTGATGTGATCTTGTTCTCTTTGTCTAGGATGCGTTGGTCCCATTCACGAAAGCAGTTAAAGAATAACTAGCAATCTACTCCCTCCGTTCCATATTAGTGGTCGCTCAAACGGACGGAGGAAATATCACTCATGTATGGCTTGGTTCCATGGACCGGAGGTGCGTACGGGAGATGGGACTGAATGCCATGGAAGAGCACGGCGGTGGTCTTAGCTGAAAGCTTATGATGGGTTGGTAGCCAATCCCCATTTATTAATTCCTGACTAGGAGAGGTAGAATGCACCCGTTCTAGTACTGATTGATATAATTAGTTGCCTGTCCCTAGTTTTGAGTAGCTAGATTCGTTCGACCCATTAACAATGAGTACTCCCTCCGTCCGGGTGTATAAGTCATTCGCGTAGTTCTAGGTCATCGATTTGAGGAATTAAATATGTGTTATATGTCATGAAAAGTATACCACTAGATTTCCACGCGGATGTAGTTTCTAAATATATATTTTTTGTCACATATAATACATATTTAGATAGTTAAATTATCGACCTAGAACTACGCGAATGACTTATACACCGGGACGGAGGTAGTACTTGCATTGGGGCCCTTAGTTTAGTTTGGGAGTAATGTGGATCCACGTCGGCAATTTCTGATCCACACCCGGCTGAGCAGTTCGCCATTAAACAAAACAATGGGTACTGATTACCGGTACCATTGATTTTTCTCTTTATGGTTGTTGTGAGGAGCACATGCATGACAATATGCAACCAACACTCCCAAGGGCATCTCCAGCCGTTCGGCCCCCCAGGGCGTCTAAATAGAGCGGCCTGAGGGCGTGCCAGCGCTAGTTCGGCCCCTGGGGGCGACCTAGCTCCCAGTCACGCCCCCAAGCGCCGGCCCAGGATGCGGAAATTTAAACTTGGTCGTTCCCGCTTTCAAAAGACGCCACAAATCCGGCGATCGGACGTAGTCTGGCGTTACAAAAAACAGAGCGCCTCACGCCGCAAGTTCGCGTGCGCAATGATTCACTCGGCGGGGTCGGCTCCGGGCGTTGGTGGAGTCGGCGTGCGCGGGCTCGGCGGTGTCGGAGCTACTTCGGTGCTGGGCTGTGTCGGCGCGGCTTCGGCACTGCTGGGCGGCGATGTAGAGGCGTCGTTCGGGCTTGGCGTCCGTGTGGTCGTGGGCGCGGGAGCTTGCGTCGTCGGCGTCGTCGGCGTTGCCGTCTGCATCTGGTTCAGGATGAGGCCGCGCTCCGCCATGTACCACGCCCTGAGCTGCTCGTCGTTGCTCTGGAGCATGTCCGCCCCGCCCATCAGAAAAGCCATGTCGGTGTTCCTCTTCTTCGCGGCGACGTTCGTCCGGAACAGGTCGAGCTTGATGGCGCTGTTCTTCATCAGCGACGATCATCGCGCCTCGGTCTTCTCTTCACGTAGGACGGCCCGGGCCTGGGCGTCGGCGAGGCAATGCTCGATGGACTCCTGCACTCGCGCGGTTGCCGCGTCAGCGTTTTTCCCCTTCTTTGCCAATTTGTGGCCGTCCGGCCGCCCCTCTGACGCGCCCAGAGTCATCGCGTCCGGTTTGTATGTCTCCTTGGCATTGTCGAGGGTACGTCGGACTTCCGCCCACTTCTCGCACTTGTCAATGCGCTTGTAGACGTGGAGGTGCTTGAAGTCGGTGTCTTGATTGTCGCGCCGATACATGGTGAACATACGCAGCAGCTGCGTGGAGGAACAAACAATTGGCGGGCGGCGAGCGTTGACAACGAAGAGATGCGGGCGAACGGCGTGCGTACCTGATCCTCAACGCTGGCGCCGCTCTCTGGGCGAGCCGCGACCTCCTCGACGATTCCATGCCATTTGTTGCACGCCAACTGGATACGCCCCCAATGGTTCGCCATCGCCTTGGAGCCACGCTGCATGTAGACGCCTTTGAAGTACAGGTCGACGAGCTTCCGCTCGTCGAACTCGGCCTTGATGCGGTCCCAGTACGTCTCCAAGCTCTAGTTTGCGCCGGTGGTCGGGTCGAGGCAGACGACTTTCCATGCTTCGGCGAGGCATTCCTCCTCCTTGGACGTCCACTTGATGC